TGCCCTGCTCTTTGAGCCCAAGAACATAATGTCAGACACTGCTTCTATTCCTTCTCCTTCTATTATTTATGTTAAGCTTCAGGTTGACTTTTACACTCTCCTCTTTCACCCTCACCAAGAGGCTTCTTAACTCTTGTTTATTTTCTGCCATCAGAGAGGTAACATCTGCATATCTGAGATTGTTGATATTTCTCCCAGCATCCTTCTGGCTTTTGATTCATCCAATCTGGTATTTCACATGATGTACTCTATATAAAAGTTAAATAAATAAGATAATAATATACAGCCTTATTGTGCTCCTTTTCCAATCTTAAACCAATCAGTTGGTCCATCTTCAGTTTAAACTGTTGCTTCTTGACCAGCATATATGTTCCTCAGGTGACAAGTAAAATGATCTGCTACTTCCCATCTCTTTGATGACTTGCAACACTGTGTAGTGATTCACACAATCAAAGGCTTTAGTGTAGTCAGTGAAGCAGTAGATTGTTTTCTGGAACTCCCTTGCTTTCTTCATAATCCAGTGAATGTTGGCAATCTGTTTTCTTGTTCCTCTGCCTCTTTGAAAACTAGCTTTCTCTTCTTGTAATTCTCAGTTCACACATTGCTGAAGCCCAGTTGCAGAATCTTAAGCATAACATTGCTTGCACATAAAATGAGTACAATTTTTTGGTAATCTGAACATTCTTCAACATTGCCTTTCTTTAGGATTGGTACATAATCTGATCTTTTCCAATCCAGTGGCTACTGTTAAGTGTTCCAAATTTGCTAGCATATTGAATACAGCACTTTAACAGCTTTATCTTTTAGGATTTTAAATAGCTCAGCTCGAATTCTGTCACTTCCATTATCCTTGTTATCGAGGCTTTTTAAGGCCCACTTGATTTCATTTTCCAAGCTCTAGAGCAAAAACCATACCAGTTCTTCTGTGTATTCTTGCCTCTTCTTCTTAATGTCTTCTGCTTTTGTTAAGTCCCTACTATTTTTGTCTTTTATCATGCCCATTTTTGCATGAAACACTTCCTTGGTAGCTCTAACTTTCTCGAAGAGATTTGTTCATCATTCTTTTCTGTTGTTTTCTTCTATTTCTTAGCATTGCTCATTTAAGAAAACCTCCTTATCTCTCATTGCTATTCTCTGGAATTCTGTACTTATTTGTCTGTAACTTTCCCTTTCTCTTTTTCCTTTTGCTTTTCATCTTTCTTTAGCTATTTGTGTGGTAGCTGACCTTGATGCCATGTTCATCCTCATTGAAGGCATTTAACAACATGGCTGAAAACATCATGCTAAAAAGCATGGGAGAAAGCACACAGGCTTGTTTTACTCCATTGGTGACTGGGAAAGCATAAGAGCATTGTCCATTATCCAGAACCTAGGCAAGCACACCATCATGAAATTGACGCACAATGCCAATGAACTTCTCTGGGCAATTAAATTTTGACATAATTTTCCATAAGCCCTCATGACTGACTGCATCAAAGGCCTTGATCAGATCCACAAATGTTGTTTACAGACCTCTGTTCTGCTCTTGGCATTTCTCCTGGAGTTGTCAGGCAGCAAACACCATGTCGACCATTCCTCAACCCTTTCTAAAGTCACACTGGCTCTCTGGTAGGTGGCCATCTTCCAGGTGAAGGATCAGCCTATTAAGGAGGACCCAGCAATGACTAAGAGAGAGACCCTCTTATGATTATCACAGGACAATCTATTTCCTTTACCTTTAGAGAGATGGATAATGGAGGCATCCTTGAACTTTTGGGGAATAACCTCCTCTTTCTATATAACCCAGAAAATTTCAGTCAGCTTTTGAGTGAGCAATGAATCCCCTACTTTGTAAATCTCAGCTGGAATACAATTAGCACCAGGTGCTTTGCCACACAAAAGGAGTCTAATGGCATTCAAAACCTCTTCTTCAGTTGGAACTTCAGCTAGGGAGGCATTGACTTCACCCTGGTATAAATAGTCAATGACTTCAGCATGAATTAATGACTGTCTGTTGAGAACACTATGAAAGCATTTAGCTCATCTCTCTTGGATCATGTCTTTATCAATAATCAATTGGGCTGTAGTGAAGAGGAGCACTGTGAAGCTGGTGTAGATTTTGCAATCACAACTAATCGAGTCAGCAAGCTTGTATGCCTCCCAAAAGGAGTGAACAACAGACTTATGAAAATACAATTGCCACTTGCAGCAAATGTCACACCACCATCATCAGTGCCTCTGTTCCCACCATGACGAGCCTGATAAGGTCAACAAAAAATTTTATGAAGACCTGGAGACCCTTATCATCTATGTGCCAAAAAGAGTTCAAGCTTAAAATTCTGGATGACTTTAATGTTAGTGTAGGCTCAGATTACCAGACTTAACAAGGAGTCCTAGGAAGAACAGAGTTGGAAACAGCAACAGCAATGGTCACTTACTGCTGAAGATTTGTGCATCTCATAACCTTCTCATCATCAACACTGTCTTCCATTTACCTAAATGCAATTAAACTTTGTAGATGCATCTTCACAGCAAACATTGGCATTTAAGAGTCTACATGATTGTAAGGAGAGGAGACAGATGTGATGTGACAGTGATGAAGGCATTGTGTGGCACAGAGTGCTGAACTGATCACAGATTTATCCTCTCCAAGCTGAATATTCACATTCAACAAAAGCAGTGGCTCCAAGGCGAAATGACTGCCAGAAGAATTAATGTCAACACATTAGAGCTCTTCTCTGAGTTTGTTGCTCACTTGGAGGGAAAGTTGAGTCAACCCACAGTTGGCAACAGTGGAGCAGGAAAGGTGTATGCGGCTTTCAGTGATTTGCACTGCATTTGCTCATCTGGGTCAGAACACTCCCAAACATCAAGACTGGTTTGAGAAAAATGATGGGAAAATTCAGAAGCTGCTACATGAAAAATGAGAACTCCACAGGATTTTCCAGCAAGATAGTTCATCCATCTCTAAGAAGGCAGCATTTAATTCCACCAAAAATACAGTACAAGTACTTAGAGAGATGCAGGACTGTTGGCTCAGGAAGAAGGCAGATGAAATTCAGTTTTGTGCTGATAGCAACAATCCAAAGCACTTTTAAGATGCCCTGAAGGCTATTTGTGGGCCAAAGACCTGGAGTGCATCAGCTATTTGTAAAGCCTCAATAGACAGCCACTTTGCTTTCTTGCTCTTCTTTTTGTTTATAGCTCATGATCTGAACCACAGTCAGTTCCAGATCTTATATAGAGTTGTACAAAGCTTTTCCATCTCTGGCTGTAAAGTATATAATTAATCTGGTTTTTATATTACCACCTGGTGATGTCCATGGGTAAAGGTGCTTTTTGGATTGTTGAAAAAGAGTGTTTGCTATGACCAGCAAGTTATCTTGACAAACTCTATTAGTTTCTGTGCCACTTCTCTCTAAGAATGCCTTCTATCCACTCTGTCAATACATTTTGTGTGTCCCTAGATATTTACATACTGTCCTCCCCCATTAGAAAGTGAGTCCTTGAGTGTAGAGATTGTTTTTGCCTTTCTCTATATCCTTGGTACTTAGCACAGGCTTATAACAGGCACTATGCTTGTTCACTAACTAATGACACACAGATCTGATCATATCACATTTCTGTTCAAAAAATTTTCAGGGCACTTACTGTCTAAAATACAAATTTCTTTGCCTGGAATTCAAGGTCCTCCACAGTCTAGCACCATCCTTCCATTCTAGTCTTATTTCATCTTTCATTCCTTTACACACCCATGTAGCCAAAGTGTGCTATTAGCACACCTCAATCTTTACACCATCTCTCACTTCTGTGTATTTGTCCAGGCAGTACCCCTACACCTTGAACATTCTCCCCTCATTGGCTATAAGCCTTCTCTTTCTACAAGAACCATTTCAGGTGCCATTTTTTTGATCCTCCAGTGGAAAATATTCTGTCCCTCCTCAAATTGTCCTGTAAAGGTAGAATCATCAAGGAATAAATGAATGAATGAGACATTTATTAAGCCCCTTTATGCATAAAGTACTGTGCCAACCTCTGGGGATATAAATAGGAAAAAAAAGATAATGGCAACTGATTGGATGTGGAAGGCAAGGTTTTGAAAACAAAGACTCAAGGACTATGAGGCTGCAAACCTGAGTAATAGAAGGAAGCTGTACACTTAACAGAAATAAGAAATTTGGAAGAAGAGATAAGTGCAGGAGAGATGGAGAAGACAGTATAAGGAATTCTGTTTTAAACATGTTTCTGGCATTAACATACAGGTGGAGAATGGAGTATTAGGGAGAAGAGAGTGATTGATGGTGGCAAAGACTGTGAAGACATAAAGGAGAGGGATAGAGAAAAGGTCATTAGATTTATCAGTTAAAAGATCATTGGTAACTTTAAAGAGAGCAGTTTCAGTTGAATGACATTAGAAACTGGATTGCAGAGCATTTAAGAAGAGGGAGACAAGTGGGAGTGGAGACAACAGAGATAGATTGAAGTTCACTAGAATTGAAGCTAATAGCTTGCATTCCCTGCAGTAGGTGGCCTTAGAGGAATTAGACCCTATTGAGAGAATGGGTGGTGACAAAGTAGAACACAGCAGTCCCTGGGACTCAAAGGACTGAAAGAAGGGAAGATTCAGGAGGTACACTGAGACCAAGAAGTATTCCTTGGCTTTATTCTGGCAAGACACCCCTGAACCCCCACATGGAGAAGACCCTTTACATGCCTACCAATCAACAGTACACCTACAGGAGCTGTTGCAGAGGTAGGGCTGACCTATGGGACCCCTGGAGAGCCATACTTGTGAACTGGGAGTGGCAAGCTGTTACATATGCCCAAGGGAGATACAGAGCAGTGGGGGAGGCACATACCCAAGTGACCTCTGAAAGGTGGGACACATTCCTTTGAGTTCTAGGGAGGCAGTGTCAGCTGGGGAAGGGGTGGACAAATTAGTATGAGCTCTAACATGGAAAAGTGTGTGTGCTGAGTGCGGTGGGGGGAGGGGGTGGCAAGGAACAGGACTTAGCACTTACCTTGGGTGATTTCAGGATGCCTGTCTCTGGGTCTGTGGGCTTCTGGAGGGAATGAGTCCACAGAAGGGATGGACCGGTCAAGGCTGTATCCTCAGAAACACTGAAAGGCGATCGTGTCCAGACCTGGAGGCTCTTGTTTAGGGATCGCTCTTTAGGAGGAAAGGGCTCTGCTGCCAGATTACCATCAAAGGCAGCTTAGCTGCAGGGACCCAGAAACCCAAAATGATAGTGGAAGGTGGGGACAAAAGGTACTCCAGAACTTGCATAGAAGTGAGAGCAGGTCCCTGCCCCAGCCCCTCCAGTTAACCACGCCTACTCTCCTCTCCTTAGATCTAGCCACCGCCCCTCCACTCCTCCCCCCACCCTCTGCCCCCTTCCTTCCGAACTTTGCGTCTCCCTCCTTTTCTCTTAGCCTCTCCACCTCCAGCCCTTTGGGTCCTCTAGACCCAGAACTTAGCGCAGCCTCTCCGCCCACTTCTAGAGGGGAGGCTGCCCTGTGCATCCTCCCTAACAAGGCGTGCGCTTCTGTGGGCAGTAGCACGGCCAGAGACAGCTAGGCTTCCACAGGCTATGAACGCCAACGGATGGGGTGAACTCCGGGGCTGGGCCCTGAGGGGGCGATTCTGATCTGGCTTCTGTTGTGGGGAGGTCTTGTGCCCATTCAAGAGGAAGACCAGGGAGCAGCCCGGCCACAGTTGAGACTCGGCCTCCCCAGCCTGCCCAATCCCACCAAAAGAGGGACCCTTCTCTGGCCCCTTAGTTTCACATCAGCCCTTCCCTCTTCCCTTCTTCCCCTCTTCCCTTCTTCCCTTCTCTCTCCTTTCATCTTCATCCTCCTCAGCCCCCTACCCATCCATCCACCCTTCTTCCCCTCCTCTCTGTCCTTCTATCCCTGACTCCTGAAAAATTTTAAAAAAAATTTAAGTTAATGTTGCAGAATTAGCACAAAAAAAAAAACGAAAGGCACCAAAAAAGAGATGTGAGAAGACACATCCTTCCATTCCTTTGTATAGGTGAGAGTTCCACAATTGTGGGACAGCACATGTATTTTCAGATTGTTTTTGATAAATTGATAACTTTTGCTATTTTTTCCCTCTTCCTATATTTCTTTTTCTTTAATAGATATTAGTTGTTATATGATATGGCTTTCTGTGAGAGGGAGGAATACTGGAAGAAATGAAGATATTGTAAAAACAAAGGATATAATTTTTAAAGTTACTTAATTTTTTTAAAAAATTACTAAAAATCTCATTTTCCCCTCCTATATGCTTACTCCCAAAGAAAGGCATGAAATTTGCTAACTATTCTTCATAGAGTTCCATACGTTTGGGGTGGGCAGAGGGAGTTTTGCTATTGATTTGGAACACTTGAACACAAAGTATATTGTCGTTCCTTTCTACAGGCATTTTCTATGTAATTCTTGCCAAACAAAATTATTGAGTAGCATGGCTTACCGAAAAAGTACTGACATTCTTAGACCAGACATATCCAGAGTTAAAAAAAAAAAAGTGAGGAGGGATTGAAGGGTTTCCCTTCTTTCTTTTCCTACTTTTACTACCAGATTATGTATGTAATCCCTGTCCCAAAGCCCATGGGTATGGGACTCTTTCCTCACTGATGGAGATGGCCCTGATCTATGTGGTAAAAGCAGGAGAGTTCCAGTCTTCTTCAAGACTTCAAACTGAGTTTTTTTAAGCGATTCTGATTTTGGAACAGGCCAGGCCCACTTCGGGTTGCTAACTGAAAACATCCTGGGAATACATAAATGGAATTCTGCATCATGTCCCTATCTCCAACTTCCTACACTAGAGACTTTGGAATGTTCCCCTAGGTGAGATCCAAGATTCTCTCTTGGTTGAGCTGTTACCTTGCACAGGGTAACACAGTTCCTTAGCCATAAAAATGTGCACACCCTTTGATCGGACAACACCGTTAATAGGTCTGTACCCCAAAAAGATCAAAGAAAAACAAAAAGGACCTATATGTGCACAAATATTTATGGCAGATCTTTTTGTGGTAGCAAAAACTGAATTTTGACATTGAAAGGATGTCTATCAGTTGGGGAATGGCTGAACAAGTCGTGGTATATGATTGTAATGGAATATTCTGCTATTTAAAAAAATGATGAGTCTGCTGGTTTGAGAAGAAACCTGGGAAGACTCATATAAATTCATGTAAAGTGAAGTGAGCAGAACCAACAGAACATTGTACATAGTAACAGCAATATTGTAAGGATAATCAATTGTGAATGACTTAGCTATTCTGATCAATACAATGATCCAAGATAATTCTGAGGGACTTATGATGAAAAATGATCCCCACCTCCAGAGAAAGAAGTGATGGAGTCTGAATGTAGATTGAAACAAATTTTTTTTTTACTTTACTTTTGCTATTGTTGTTTTTGGTCAGTGTTTTCTTTTGCAACATGGCTAATATGGAAATACGTTTTTCATGACTTCACATGTGTAATCTATATGAAATTGCTTGCCTTCTTAAGGAAGGGGGAGGGGATGGAAGGAGAGAATTTGGAGCTTAAAATTTTTGAAAACGAATGTTAAATTTTTTCCACATGTAATTGGGAAATATTTAATGAAATAAAAATGTATTGGGGAGCAGTTCCTTCTCTCTATTATCTCAACTATATCATCCTATGTATACCTTCTCTGATTTCTATTTTGCTGCTTACTTGGATAAAATAGGTTTTCTTTGCTATTTGCTATGTGTGTTCATTGTGGATCTGGTATTTGGTGGAAAAAGGCCAAGCCTTGAATATAAAGCTTGGGGCCCCTTCCCCCCAAAAATAATGAGAGAGAGCAATCAGAAATTAGATTAAACCCAATCTATCACCTGGACTAAAAATATTTAAGGAAGCAGATAGATAAACTTGTAGTGCAGTAATCCCTCTATCCAACCCCTCTATCTGACCACCAACCTCCTCCTCCTCCTCTCTCAACGGGTAGGAATAAAAGTCTCCCTTGGAGAAGAGCAAGGAGAAAAGAGACTAGACGTATCTATCCTGCCTCCTTGATTCAGGTAGCCACATAACAGTCCTTGCCAGGGTGGCTAAGGGAGAGGGGACGGCTCTACATTTGGGTTTTTTCCTACACATAAAGGCTTCTCTACATACATTATTAGAATTACTTATTTTATGAATCCGTATATAAATCCATCTGATCCTTTAGTTCCTTCTTGCCCTTTAAAATTTCACTGATGCCTTGTTCAATTTCTTACTCTTTTTTGCATTATATAAATTATATATACTCTGTTCATCTGTGTAGTTATATTTTTGTAATTATTCACTGATTTCATCAAAGTTATTAGTTTTGTTGGCATATAATTGGACAAACTAGCCTAGTGATTTCCTGTTTTCTCTTCTCTTATTATTGAATTATCCATCTTAATTTTTGATAGGAACATGGCTTTCATTTTCTCAATCTGACCAGCTAGCCATTTCTCTTTTATTGGTTTTAAAAGATAACTCTTAAATTTATTTATACACTCCATGAGTGTTTTTCATTTCAATTTTGTTCATCTCTTTAGGTGATTACTTCTCAAGATCCCAGGCAGAGTCTGTTCCTTTGGGACTAAGGGGAAAAGGAGGAAACTAATTGTATCCTATTCTGGACACTCTAAATTTATATGGCCATCAATTCTGGGCACAAAGATGGCAGTCCTCAGAAAGTTTGTCTTCTAAGTCAACTGCCTCTCTTCTTCCATCCTTCCTACAGTTTTTTCACTACCTCAGATTAACCCCTACCTACCTAAATCCCATTCCTACTCTCTTTTCCTCCCACTCCTCCTCTCTCCTTTAGAAGGCAAGCATTTGATATAGATTATGCATGTGAAGTTGTGCAAAAGATATTTAGCCATGTTGCAAAAGAAAACAACCAAAATAAAATAATAAAAATAGTGTTTAAAAAGTATGCTTCAATCTGCATTCAGAGTCCATCAGTTCTCTCTCTGGAGGTAGATAGCATTTTTGATCATGTGTGCTCTAGAATTGTCTTGGATCATTGTCTTGATCAGAGTAGCTAAGTCTTTCAAAGTTGTTAATACTTACAATATTGCTGTTACTACACACTCATGTTCTCCTGGTTCTGCTCACTTCACTTTGCATGAGTTCATACTTCCCAGGTTTTTCTGAAATCATCTTGCTCATCATTTCTTATAACACAATAATTTCATCATAATCATATGCCACAACTTGTTTAGCCATTCTTCAATACATGGGCATCCTCTCAATTTCTTTTTTTAATTTTAGACAAATGCCAAAACTTAAATACATAATAAGAAAAGAAAAGGAAACATTGCAAATATAAGAAAAAACAAAAAAACATGTGCATAGTAGAACATAGGAGAGGATTGAAATTATATAGCAATAACTTTTCATTTCAAGAAAGCCTGTATATTAAATATTGTACATTGTGCCAAAAGCTGTCCATCTTTTCTTTGCTTCCTTGTAGGGTTTTTTTTGTTCAATGCTGTACATTTTTTACTTTGTTCTTTTCCCCCTCCCTCCCCCCTACCCACTACCCCAAGAATACAGTTCAGCATTGGATATAATTATATATAGGTACTGATATATACACACTTATACATATATATACATACATACATATACATATGGTTTCCATAAGAGATTCTACTCCTAATCTTTGTTTGTATGTTTGTGCATAACTCTTTATTTTTCCTATCTCTCCTACTTCCTCTACTTTACTTCTACCTGCTACCTTACCCTCCTTTTACTTAACCTACCCTCACTCCTGCATTCCCTCTCTTATCCTCCCATTCCCCTAAATCTAAGCCTCCTTCTATATCTCCTTTTCAACCTATTTCCACACCCTCTCCTCTAAAGATCCCTTTTATCCTCTTCCCCCTCCCCATCCCCTTTGAGTTTTATTTTTTTCCGAATTTAGAAGATTTCTAAATGTATATGTATTTTCCCAATGAGAGTAGGTTTCCAGAACTAATAGCCCCCTTCTCCCATCTAATTCCTCTGTATTGGTTCTTCCTTTTGTACCTCATTTGTAAAAGATAATTACTCTTTTAGCTGTACTTGAATAGTTTTACTTTTTGAAGTCATATAATACTCAGGTATACCCCTATCTGCCTTATAATTACCTAATTACTAGTAACAATCTTAGACATAAGTTTTACATTTTTCATACATAAAAGGTAAACATTCTATACTTATTTAGTCCCTTGTAATTGGTCATTGGTATGTACCTCATATTTCTCTTGGATCTTGTATGTTAAATCTTCTTTTGAGCTCAAGGTTGGTTTGTTTGTTTTTAACAAAGACCTGAAAGCCTGACAATTG